TAAATTTAAAAGAACTCATTGTCTTTTTTACACTTTATTTACACTCCTTGATCGTTGAATAGTAAAAAAAATTTCAGTAAAGAACTTTAAACTATTTTATTAGGATATTCACCAAATATCCTATGAAGAATCATTTTGAAAGTGTAAATTCTATTGGTCGATTCCTGTTGGTCAAAATTATGATCGTCCTAGATATTAATGTCACGTATTCCAATGTTGTTTCTCATTGGTCGTCTTAACTGTCAATGTCACAGACTTCGATGCTGTTCCTATTCGACCTAACTGTATGAATACGTATTATCTGTAACGTGCTATGGACCGGACTCGAACAAGTATCTCTAGTCCGGCATCCTGATTCTCTTCTGGACTCAGACCTCGTACTTTCTGGATGTCTGTAGAATACAGGTTCTACTTCACATTCAAGTCTTCTTCTTTCACTCACTGGGGGTTGGGACACTCGGATTAGTGTAGCATGTCATGTAGCCGGATCCTCGATCCTCGCTCTTGTTTTTCGACTAAGGTAAACACTCGTAATCAGTAAAGCATATCAAAATGACATGTTTACGTTCATGCGTGACGTATTTGAATTTAAGTAAAATACATGAGTAACTAGTTGAGATATACACAAAAAACGACTTTTATTATTTCATTACAAAAACGAATCACTTTCAAAGCTTCACATATGAATAAATGGTGGTTCGAAAGCAACACACTCCACTAATAAGTTCTAAGAATTTTTAGTTTAATTGGTAGTACTTTCCTAGCTACAAAGTAGGGAGAACCTGTAAGATAGTGAAAAAAAACTCCTAGCTTGATTTGAAAAAATCATAACATAAAATTATTTTCATCAAAACTTCATAAAAGTCTTAACTAACTGTTAGAATCCTTAATAATTTCTGAAAAATTAGACGCTAATGAACGCATTTTATGAAAAGACTAAACATATTATACTACTAGAGTATTCATTCTCCTGACTTTCGAATTACTTTAGTCTACTTTAGCAGCGAATTGTAGCGTTTAGTATCATGATAATCTATGAAGTCACTGACAAGTGGACTAAGCCATATTAGTAGACATAGACTACCAAATTGGGGTCTGCGAGCAGACAATAATCAGCGGTTAGAAAAGACCTTGAATGACCTAACACAAAATCGTTTGCATTGGCACAGGTACATTCATTCTTTGTGTTCTCTCAAATTCTTATCTTCTGACTTCTGCATCACTTTTATCTTTCTCTTTCTAAAGTTGTCTCACTAATTTATACTATCTTCGAATCCTAATCTTCTCCATCACCACTAATACTTCTACTACTTCTACTACTATGTGATTTGAAATGACACTTGCTTGTCTGTGCTGATGTGGTATAGCAACCTGAACTGATGTACGTACATGCGAAGTTCTTCGTTGTAGATGACTGATCAAGTATCAGGATATACTAGTATGATTCATCCTAGCTTCCGGAAAAACTTTAGTAACTCAGGTCGCCTGTGACTATAGGGTCGTTTTGATAAACTGATTAAATCATTTCTTTTTTCATAGGTGATTGTAAACTTCAGTACACATGCATCTTAGAACAGATATCCTTGTCATTCTTTTGTACGCGTGTTTGTCAATTGTTACTTTATCCAACTGCCTATCTCTTTGTCTCACTACTCACTAACTACTTTTTATTTTTAATATTAACTCTTATAATGAGAAGTGTGTAGAGATATTGACAGGCTTAACTTCTTTGCTTCGCTTCGCTTCGTTTTCTTGTTTCCTACTCCTTTTTTTAATGTCTATCTAAGTCCATGATTGCATAAGATAAATGATAATTCACCCAAATCAATCTGTATTCGACCTTTGATAAATCACTACTATTGTGGTGCGAACTACTTATAAGTAGTATATAACGTGAGTGTCAACGTAAAGTCTGGTAGCATAATATGGGGGGAAGAGCAAGAAAGGAAGAGTTAGAAACAATGGAATTTGTATGAAACGCATGAATAGTGACAATGAAATGATGTTGTGTTTGCAACAGGAACAGTCCAGTTCCATAGGATGAACTGATCTTTTGCAAATTAACGATTTACGATATGGTTTTCCGATTTTACTGAGTAACTCTGTAATTTTCGTTAAATACAATTCGGTTGCCCCACCTGTGTTCTCATTCACTACACTATCACATATTGAATCGTTTATTCCAATTGAAATCAAATCATGGAGTTACTTAAAAATTCTGAACAAATTCATTATATATTTGAAATCCATTAACTGATCAATGTTAAACCACCATTAGAAACCAAGAAGCACTGAAAGACGGCCGTTTCATCCCAGTATGAAACTCATCAGTGACAGAACGCATCCACGACTCCTTGCACCTCGCAGGATTCGAACTCGAGATATAAGGTCTTGTGCGCAAATGCCTAACCTCTGGACCTGATATAAATGTTTGTCTTTATCTATTAATTGATGGCTGGCTGTTTCCGCCTCTTTATTCTTTTCACATATACGCACTATTAACCATACTAAGCTTTAGTCAATATTTTTTATCATTAGACAGCTGGTGAAAATTGTTCACAGACAAAATTAAAACAACGATAATTTGATTTCATACTGGGCAAATAGTTTTTTCGTTTGTTTCAATTTAATCTTATCATTATCAGCATTCTGTTTCATTTTGTACTTAAATATCATCATGAAAAGTTAAATGTTAAGAAATATTGAATTTTGAACATGAACGATAGAAATAATAATGTTTATTCTGAAGATAATATTGACAATGATATTGTAGGTAAAAACAATATATGATTACCAGGATAAATGTGGTGAAGACTTTTGTATGTTATTACTAAGCTTACAAATAGAAATAAGGGGAACATCCGTTGAATATCTGGAAGAAATATACAGAGGCTTCTTCCCAAAATGAAATCCCTCAAGAGTGTGATTGAGACCAGTAACTTCGGTCTTGCAGTTGAATGTTTAACTTCTAAACCACTGGACTAAGATCTAATGGCGTTTATCTCTAATTTCAGCTAGTTCATGATATAGCGCGACCTTATTGTTTCGTCTTCAATGATACTTTACACATGTGAGACACAGCTGAATTCCACTGATCATAGTTACTTTCTAGAACTCCAGAAATTTCATCCCGAAGCTCATCAAAAGTCGGTATGTGATAGTTATCAGTCTTGTTGTTAGGCATTAATTGAAGGTCCCGGGCTCATTTCCCAAAACGCAGGAATGATGGATGTACACTACTGAGAAGTCCCATATTGGGAAAAATATCTGTTCAGTTATTCTGGTTTTCAATAAATGTGCAACTAAGATTAGTTTATGATCTCATCATCATTCCGTATTTCAATAAAACAGTATTAATCGATCATAATTCACAGTGATAACATTGTTTTCAAGATTCAGTAACATCGAGCATGAAAATGGCAGATAAAATGAAATATATACCCTCCTGACCTCCTTAAATTACCAACGTATAATTAATAAAATATATTGATTACCTAAACTTTATTCTGCTCCGTTATGACTAAAGATTACACACAATGAAGTATCTAGTTTAGAGAACCAATCAGAAATGACCTAAAGAGAAGGTCACTTGATAACAATTCAAAATATCCCAAAAGGATGAATGTTTATCATTGGTCAAAGAGTGGATTCATTTTCTAAGGAGGGGGGAATATATATAGATACGAATGAGTATTTATGTATATAATTCGGTAGCCGTAGCAGTAGGTCTCAACGTACATAAAGGAAAAAGCAAAATTCTCCGATGCAACACAACATGCACCACCAACCAGATCACTCTTGATGGAGATGCCTTGGAGGACGTTAACACCTTTACATAACTGGGCAGCATCATCGACAATCATGGTGGATCCGATGCAGATGTGAGGGCACGGATTAGCAAAGCAAGGGCTGCATTTCTACAATTCAAAAAAATCTGGAACTCCAAACAACTTTCAACCAAAACCAAAATCAGGATCTTCAATACAAATGTGAAGACAGTTCTACTGTATGGAGCGGAGACCTGGCGAACTACGAAAGCCATCATCCAGAAGATACAAGTATTTATGATCAGTTGTATTCGCAAAATACATCGGATTCGTTGGCCGGACACCATCAGCAACAACCTACTGTGGGAGAGAACGAATCTGATTCCAGTGGAGTTGGAAATCAGGAAGAATCTGTGGAAGTGGATAAGACACACATTACGAAAAGCACCTATTTGCATTTCCAGACAAGCCCTCACATGGAACCCTGAAGGCAAAACGAAAAGAGGAAGGCCAAGGAACACATTACGCCAGGAAATAGAGAAGGATATGAGAGGAATGAACAAACATTGGACAGAACTGGAGAGGGAAGCCCAGGACAGAGTTGGTTGGAGAAAACTGGTGGGTGGCCCATGCTCGATTGGGGGTAACAGGCGTAAGTAAGTAAGTAAGTAAGCCGAGTAGACTCTTTTCCACTTTCGCCAGTTTGCAGCGGGTTGTTAGCGTCTATCACGTTCATTTCTCCAACACTGTACATCTTCACTTCTCACTGAAGAAGTTGGAGCAGAGGTTAGCGGGTATCACGTTCAGATCTAGGGCATATCGCACATCATAACAGTTTCACAATCAAGAAATTCATTTCTTGTAATCACCACAAACTGATTGAATCAATGAATCTGATCCGGCTAGTTCAATAGCATATTTTCTAATTGTAAACTAGGTTGACTTAAAAAATTCAGTTGATTTACAATGAAAGCTTTAAAGTTGATCAATTCATGAACACAAGTTTAATAACACAACAATAAACTGATAGAATATTTTTGTTTTAACGATTAGTTCAATTCGATTGAACAACAAACAGTCAATTTAATCATATTTTATGTTCTGCATAGTGAATAGTTTTTTTCAATATTGATTACAATACATGTTGAATTAAATTTGAAAATTGTCTCACATCTTCATCACCATCCTCTGTCTTCATTATGTATAATAAGAAATATTTTTTTATTTTTTCAGATGGTTACAAATTATGTTTCATGAAGCGGATTCAACAAATCAAGGTTATTTAAGTGAATTCGATGTGATTCGTTTAATTCGTTCAATTAATCCAAGTTTATCATCGATACATTTAAGGCATAAATTAAAAGTAAGTTGTGAATACTTTTTTTTTAAATATCATTGAACATTGAACGCTGAATTAAGTTTCGTTGTAGTTTTTTTGTTTTTTCGTGGTTTTTGAACGATGAGTTGTTTGAATTCATGTATCAAGATTATAAAATAAGACTAAGAAGGTGAAGTGTTTGAATTTTTAAAGATTTTTTATCAATGTTCAATCTGAACCACTCAACATGAATTTTAATCTAAGACTTTTAGGTCTCCTAGTGTGGTGCAAGCTACTTATAAGTAGTATATGACGTGAGTGTCAACGGAATGTCTGGCAGCAGCAGATGCGCGAGGAAGATCGAGAAAGGAAGAGTTAGAACACAATGGAATTTTTATGAAACACACGAATAGTGACAATGGATTGATGTTGTGTTTGCAACAGGAACAGTCCAGTTCGAGATGATGATGGACTGATATTTTGCAAATGAACGATTTACGATATGGTTTTCCGATTTTACGGAGTAACTCTGTAATTTTCGTTAAATACAATTCGGTCGCCCCACCTGTGTTCTCGTTCACTACACTAGTAGTATGTGTGTTATCTTTAGGCTATTGGATTAGTGAATATTTATGCTTACAATCGACTTAAATTATTTAAGATTGAAAGAAATATTCTTTATTTCAAATAACTCGTTCTTTTTTCATTAAATGAAAAAAACTCAGAAATAAAATTGAGATTGTAGTAGTAGCTCGGGTGAATGATTATGACAGAGTATAGTGAGTATCTGAGCTGGATATTGTTTTGGTTATGAAGCTTTTGCTGAACAACATTATCAGTACAGACTTCAAGCAGAAGTGAATGAAGTATTGGAATTTCTCCGTCTGCATGATTTGTCGCTTGTTCTGTTGATCAATAAAGATTGAGATCAATAGATCAAGCTACGGGTTGTACACGTGGATTAATCCAAAATACTTCACTTATTCTACCTAAAGTTTCTGTTGATGATGTTGTGTTCAGCAGAAGAAGAATGATATAAGCGCTCCACATCATAAAACAACATCCAACATCCACTACAATAAATCATAATGAAATCAATTCATATTTATCAGTGATGATTGTAGTTATTTATTTTTGTTATTGTGGTATAAAAATATTTGTACTGATCCTTTTCTAAATGATTCCTGTTTAGCTGGCTAATTACAATGTCATACATTCTAGTTGATAAAATAATTAATTATATACACTTTCCATGGAACATGAAAGTATAACACTTTTCAAATTAGCTTATATAAAACATTTGTAAAAAATTTTAAAACAACACATGTAAGCGTGTAATAAATATTGCTGTTTTCAGTTAGATCGTCATCTGGTTTTACTCTTCAATTTCTATGAAAGTGTCAAACGGATCAAAACAATTTGTAAGTCAATAATTACAATGAAATGAAATAGATTATTACATCACTACACATGGTAGGTGAAGGTAAAAGTTGATAGTAGGAAGTGATTCTACGCAGCCAAACTTGCGTTGGCCTTTTCAAGTTGACCGGCGATGTTTACTCAAAAAGGTACCAGAGTTCGACTCCTGTCTATATGCATTTATAAATTCAGCTGCTCCCGTGGAAATAGCTATATCAGGCGTACTACCAGGCAACTTAACCAATCAATAAGTGAACATCTCCCAGTATGGTTTATAAAGGGCCAGTTAAAAAACAATACACAGTTCTATCTTGGCACAGTTGATTGATAGTGGTCATCAGGTAGATAAATCTGAATCATGTCGAGTGAACTGTCATCATTTCCCAACCGACTTCCAATCCGTTTCCTGTACATAACAGAAGCCATAGGAATTCGAACATTCAACCTCAATTTATATGTTTAGAAGAAATTCGTGACATCCCTAAGATCAGTCGGAGTTAGACATTAACACCGTTGGATGCCGACCCAGTGGTCCAATGGTTAGGCGATCGCGCACAAAGCCGAAAGTCCCGGGTTCCAATCTTGCGAGTAGCAGGAGTCGTGTATGCGCACTGTTGATGATATCCATACCAGGACGAAACGGCTGACCAGTGCCACCAGGTTTCTAATGATGGTCTAACAATGATTTGTTGATGATTTCAAATGTGTAAAAATATTCAAGTAGTTTAGAGTAAAGCCTGATGACGACCAAATTGAAATCAACAATATTGTACGCTTATATTTGCGTTATACCAATATTCATAATGGGAATATTTAATATTTAACAAAAAATTTAACCGAACAATTTTTTTCACAAAACCTTATTCAACAACATTTAAAAAGTGGTTTCACCTCAAAAAGATCAAATCAAACATTTGAACTGTCTAAATCTGTATTACTGAGCTTATTTTCAATAAATGTAGCTTAAGTTTTGCATACCTTTATTATTTTCGTACAAGCACAAAATCAAAACAGAATATTAATTTAAGTTTTACATATTTTTTTAAAAGAAAATTATTTGAAATCATAACAGAATTACACATTGAAATCAACAACCAATCATTGTTAGACTATCATTAGAAACCTTGAAGTACTGGACGGCCATTTCGTCCTGGTATGGAACTCATCAGTGGCAATGCTTATCCACGACTCCTGCACCTCACAAGATTCGCGAACTCCTTAACTTCTGGACCACTAGGCTGGCATACAACGGTGTTAATGTCTAACACTGATTAATCTACAGATTTTGCGTGACCTCACCTATAAGGGAATTCATTTTATTTGACGTGGTTTTGGATTATTTCTTTGTTAACATTTTAACTGGAATTCGATCAGTCATGATTATCAATATGAAATGAATAATTCAGGACATTTTACATTGAATTAAATCTCACACACTTGCTTCATAAATAAGTAGTAGCTTTCAAAGTCTCAATAGCTATGTGGATAAACTAAGTAGAGTGCTTTGAAGAACTGTTGAATCGATCAGCTACACGTAACAATCTGACAGAACCCACCAACAATTGAACAGATCAGTATGTCCATTAGACGAATCAAGAGCAGCAAACCTATTGGACCATACATCATTCTGGCTGAGGCACTGAAATCAGACACGACAGTAACTGCAAAGATACTTCACATTCTCTTCACCAAGATTTGGTGGGAAGAACAAGTACCAACAGCCTAAAAAGAGGGATACCTCATCAATATTACCAAGAAGAGGCAATCTCAACAAGTGTGAGGACTATACAGGCATCACTCTTCCCTCATAACCAGGAAAAGTCTTCAACAGTATGTTGTTAAACCGAATGGAAGATTCAGCAGACGCCAAAATTCCACATTAACAGGCTGGCCTGCGTAAGGATCAATTGTGTACCGGATGAATTTTTTTAATATGGATCATTGTAAAACAATCAGTTTAATGGAATTCAGCACTGTACATCAACTTCACTGACTAAGAGAGTACATTTGATAGCGTGGACAGTATGACATTATGGAAACTTCTTCAACACTACAGTGTGCCTTAGAAGATAGTCAATATAATACAGAATCCTTAGGGAGATTAAACTGCTAAGTAGTTTATGAAGGGCAGCTAAAAGATTCATTCCAAGTGAAGATAGGTGTCAAGCAAGGTTACATACTATCAGCTTCTCTCTTTCTTCTGGAGCTTGAAGACACGAAGACACCAACATCTGAGACAAAGTATAGAATACAGTAGTCAGCTCGTATGCATCTGGAGGCTTTGGACTTCGCAGATGATCCAGTCCCTTTTGTCCCACACACAGTACCAAATTCAGATGAAGACGACTAGTGTAGCGTTAGCCTCTACAGCAGTTGAAAAAAGTAAGATCCTGTGATACAACACATCATGAACCGACCAAATCACACTTGATGGAGAAGTATTACATACTTGGTCAACATTATTGATGAGCAAGATGGATCTGATGAATAAGTGAAACCATGGATTGGCAAAGCAAGATCAGTAGTTTTACAAATGGAGAACATCGTGGACTACCAACCAACATCAAATCCAGAATTTTCAATACAAACATCAAGATAGTTCTAATGCTTGGAACTTAAACTTGGAGAACTATGAAACCATCATCCGGAAGATACATGTGTTTATTAACTAACAATTGTCTACGTAACCGACTTTGAATCTTTTAGCCAGACACCATCAGTGAAAAACCTATGATGTCTGGAAACAAAGCAGATTCCAGCTGAAGAAGAAGGGAGAAAGAATCACTGAAGGTGAATAGGATACACACTGACGAAAGCACCCAAGCGTGACATGACGCAAGCCCTAACTTGGAAAATCCAAGGAACATACTCCGCCGAGAATCGGATACACACATGAAAATGAATCACTAGCGACTGAATAGAACTAGAAAGGAAAGCCTTGGACAGAATAGGTTAGAGAATACAAGTCGGCGGTCTTTCCTACTTTGTAAGTTACAGGCGTAAGTAAAACAAATCACCTATTGTCACATAAAAACACTATCACTACCTAAAACACAATCTATTCATTTTACCTTGTTCAAATAAATACTTTTGCCTTTCTACTTATGCATTTCAATCAATTTACACTAGTATACAATTAGATTGAAAAAAAAACAAACATCTTTTCCACTTTTGACTAAACCCAGTATTATCACGTGAATAAAAATACCAATGATCGATCGATAAGGCAAGTTTCTAGCAAGAAAGAAAAACAACCAACCACCAGAATTCGATTGATTCTTTTCTGGGTTTTTTTTCCTAATCTTTTTTTTACTGTTTGTTTGTTTATTTGCTAAAAAAAAATCATCATGCCATGATATTTGTTTATTATTTCATTCAAATCAATAATGTTTAAAACAAACGTATGACGTCAATTATGTGTCAGTGTGCGTTGTGTGTGTGTGTGCGCGCGCGCACGGTTCGCGAAAAAATACACCGAAATTGGACACTGAATGCCAAATTGTTATGATATTTGGTAGAAAAGTAAACAAACTTTTGTCCGTTAAAATCTTCCCTGCTAATATAATATCATGTATGAAGAAAAACCTGTTCAATATTCAATGATCTATTTATGAATTGTCAAATGTTTCCATTGAAATCATGAATCAATCAATGTTAGATTACCATTCAACACCGGGGAAGCATTGGACTACCGGTTCATCCTAGTATGAGACTTATCAGCAGTGCGCATCCAAAACCGCAATGGTTTAGAGATTAAACGTACGTATGTGAGATCGAAGGCACTGTGTTCGATTCCCGCTTCCTGGGTCATGGAAGTGTACTGGCGATAAGTCACAGACCATGAAGAAACAGCTGTCCAATGCTTTCTCATAGTTTCTAAAAAAAAATCTCCACAACCATTTCAATAAAAATGTTTTTCATTACAAGTTTCGCCGAGAATAGAGAAACATTCTAGTTTTCTAGTGATTACCTAATCGAAGTTGATTAAAATGACGTACAGTGTAAAATTATACAAGTTATTACGGTTTTTTTTTACTATATTTTCAACTAGACATAATTATTTTTTCCATCTCATTTATGTGTACATGTATATTGACTGTTTTTTTCATTTTCTACTCTAGGAAATGGAAAGTAAAGTTCGATCACATAAAACTGGTATTACTAAAGACGATTTTGTAAATTTTTTTAAAAAAGTAGCTACAAGACAAGAGATTTATTATATTCTTATAAGGTAAGTTGTATGTTTTTTAGCTAAAGAATTGAATAAAGTTTAATTTTCAAATATTTATATCATTAGATAATCATGTTTTCATTGTAATCGTTGTTAGATTACCATTAGAAATCTGGAAGCATTGGATGGACATTTCATCCTGAATTTAGATATGAACACCTTGTGAATGTTGACTCATTGGTTCAGATGTTAAGTGTTCGCGTACAAAACCGAAAGGTCTTGGGTTCGAGTCTTGCAAGAGGCAGGAGTCGTGGATGTACACTGCTGATAACTCCTGTACCAGGACTAAATAGCTATCCAGTGCTTCCCAGATGTAGGTCTAACAATGATTGATTCATGGTTGTAATAATCAGGAAAATTATTTGTCAGTATGGGATTTGTAGATATCGTCGACTTTTTATGGAAACGAGATCCAAACTGAGGTTTAGATTGAGGAATAACTACTGCCTAGGTAGTTAAGATACGCGTCTTATCCAGTTGAAATTCAAAACAAGTGATTTGGGTAAATGACGGTCCTAATATTCATCATAAATATAAATATACATCATTACCTAAACAAATATTCCACCAACAATTGTTCAATTATTCAAATAAGTGATATTCTATCCCTCCTGGATAGATCAGATTAGTTCGACACATAATAGGTGGTTGCTTTATAACACAGAGTGCTCCAATTCACAATCGAGATGCACAATTCCAGTCTGTACAAGCAATCTCATCAAAAGAGCAACAAATCAATATATGGTTGTCGCCATGTCTAATTATCAGCTTAAACAACATAAGTGCAGTTCAGAAAGAAACATAGAAACTCAGTAAAAGGCGGTAGCAATAGAAATTATAATAAAATACAAATATTATCATCTCAAAGATGGAATCGAACAGATTAACAAAATGTACAACTGAAGAAATCAATAAGGACAAATTGCAAATGTATACCTGGAGGGGGTTTCGCAAACAAAGCCTTACAATCAGTGAACTTTTTTCGTGAACAAGATTAACGTTAGACAACCATTTATAATCTAGCATGACTGATTTATCATAGTTTGAAACTTAGTAGTATACATCCACGACCAACTAGACAAAGAAATTCACTGAATTCCAAACTATCATCATTCATCATGAATGTATATCAATACTCTACAATTTCCAAACTGGAACACGTTAGCTGAAACTCCATAGCAAAATAAAGAGAGTTTTATTAAACTCGATATGCATGAGGGTGAATTAAAAGTACTTTACAGTACCGAGTCTAACCGATGTAACATTGTTAGGATATTCATCAAATATCTTTAGAAAATTATTTTTGTAAGTCTAATTCTATTGGTCAATTCCTACTGCTCAATCTTATGCTCATCCTAACTATCAATGTCACGGACTTCAATGTTGTTTCCTATTTGATCTAAGTGTATAAATACGCATTATCTGTAACGTTTTATAACCCGGACCCGGACCCAGATCCCTAGTCCAGGATCCTGATTCTCATGTGAACTCGGACCTCATGCTTTCTGCATGCTTGTAGAATACATGTTCTACTTCATATCAAGTCTTCTTCTTTTACTCAATGGGAGCTTGGGATAATCGGATTAGAGTAGCATGTCATGTCACCGGATCATCGATACTCGCTCTCGTTTTCCGACCAAGGTAAACTCGTAATAGTTCAAGCCTTTCAAATGAGGTGTTTACGTGCATACGTGACAGTAATCCAGTAAAATTGAAACGTTTACGATGTTTACAGAAAAGCGTTTGAACTTATATCCTTGATTGGCTTTTATCAATTTTCATATCAACTGTCTCGACAAATGTATGTGTGACCAATTACTTTATGTTGGCATTTTCTAGCTGACCAGTGAGTGATGTGTAGTCAAACAAAAGATGACTTACTTAAATCTGTCTTCTTACAAATTCAGTTGCTGATGTGAAAATAGGTATGTATGACTTACTACCCGATAACTTAACCAACGAAATGGTGAATAACTTCTATCTTGGTTTGAAATTACAAACAAGATTTTGTTTTCAAAAAAATTACTTCCACAGTAGACTGAACTCGATGTTGTGTACTTTCTGCTGAACATTGTTTTTTTTTATTGTAGAGTAATGGAGATTGTTAGGTTTCATTGAAATAATGAATAGATGATCATTGTCAGACCACACCATAAGAAACCTGGAAACGCTAGACGTCTGTAGGACAATTTTTGCTAGTGGGAACCGAACCCAGGACGAAATGGCAGTCCAGTGCTTCTAGCTTACTAATGATAGTCTAACAAGGGTTCAATTGCTACAAGCACCAGTCGTGGGTGCGTACTGCTGGTGCTGATGAGTCCCATACTAGGATGAAATGCCCTTCAGTGCCACCAGTTTCCAGGTAATGGTCTAACAAGGATCAACTCATTATTTCAATCACATTGTTTGTTTGTATAATTTCAAATGATATTATTATTTCACCATATAAAATAATTTCCTCATTTTACTAAAACCACTTCCTTTTTAATGATTATTGAATAAAATCTATTTTTACACATTTGAAATCATCAATCAATCATCGTCAGACCATCATTAGAAACCTGGAAGTACTGCACGGCCGTTTCGTCCTGGTATGGGATTCATCAACAGTGCGCATCCACGACTCCTGCATCTCGCAGTATTCTAACCCAGGACTTTCGGCATTGTGCGCGAACGCCTAACCATTGGACCACTGGGTCGGCATCCAACAGTGTTAATGTCTAACTCTGATTGATCAAGCGATTTCGCGCGACCTCACCCATTTTTGTTTGGTAGTTACTGCCTACACCCGACAGGGTTGAACTCCACTGATCACGTCTTCTCAAATAGAACTTCGATAGTTAGTCGTTCGCGCACAATATTGAAGGTCACGGGTTCGGATCCTGTGAGGTGCAGGAGTCATGGATGCGCATTACTGATGATTTTCCCATACCAGGACGAAACGGCCATCGTCTAGTTCTTACAGGTTTCTAATGGTGGTCTAACAATGATTGATTAATGATTTCAAATGTGTAAAAACACAAACCTCCAAAGCTCTAGCTTAAAAAAACAAAATCTATTTGTTCCAGGTATTCCAGTGGATCAGAACATTTAAGTGCTGAAGATTTAAAGAATTTTTTTGAAAGTGAACAAGGTGTAAGTTGCTTTTATTGTTATAATCATTAAGTCTATATTTTTTTTATCTGTCTTGTTCAGTTAGCTGTTAATCACTGGTATGTGTAATGTATACCTTATTAAGCGTAATAAATTCACACATATTCAACTGTAATCCGCATACAGTTCAGATTAGTTACATTTTTCTCTTAAACCGAATGAATGCTATATTTGTCTATCAATAGATGACTATGAATTTTTACTGTTAATTACTTCTGGCCAATTTTAGATACCTACAAGACATGTGTAAAATTTGATGCAATCCTTTACGGGCGAAATCGTAAAAATTCTTACAGATGGTTATTCTTTTAACTCGTGAGATTAAGGTTTTTTACAAAAGTACATTTGTTCATTGATGATTTATTTTGGGATAGAAAAGATATTCAAGGATGTCTCTAGTCAGTCAGTCAGTCAATCATTTACAACGTAGAACTTAATATTTACGTACATCAATTCAAGTTGCCATAACACATTAGCACAGAGAAGTAATTGTCTATTCAAATCCCATAGTAGTAGTGGTAGTATTAACGGTAATCGGAGAGGTTACGGTTCGACGATATTATTCAGAAAGTATAATCCAGCGAAAGATCAAGGTGATGAGGCGTCCAGAAGATTAGTACGTGAGAGAACACAAATAGTGGATGCACCTCCGAAACTGCAAACGATTTCGAGCCACATCATCATCCAAGGTCCTTAACCATCGGTTACCATCATCTCGCGGACGCCAACCAGGCAGTCGGCACTTACCAACATGGCACAGTCAACTTGTCAGTGATTTCATGGATGTTTGCCATGTTTCGGTTTGGCTGTCTCTAGCTTTATTCCGTCATATTCTTACACTTAAACTCACAGTATAAATAGAGAAGCATTTTCAATATATATATATATATATCAGTCAGATGCAACGTAGAACTTCGTACGTAAGTACATCAGTACATGTCGCCATACCACATCAGCACAGACATGTAATTGTCAATTCAAATGCAATAGTAGAAGAGGTAGTAAAGGTATTAGAAGTAATCGGAGAGGTTAGGATTAGAAGATATTATTCAAGAAGTATGATTTAATGAGAAAAGTTTAGAAAGTCAAAAGTAGACGGGTTGAAGAATCCAGGATTTGAGAGAACATAAAGAATAAATGCACCGGCGCCATTGCGAATGATTTTGAGCCATGTCATTCAAGGTCTCTAACCATCGATTATTATCATCTCGCGGACCCCAACCAAGTAGTCGACAATTTCCGACATGGCTAAGTCCACTCGTCAATGACTTCATGGATTTCTACCATGTTTTGGTTTGGCCGCGCCTAACTCTCTTCCAACCTACTCACTCCTACACTACAAAACAACGCTCTTCGAGGCAATCGGTGGTTGGGCATACGCAACACATGTTACAACCACCTCAACTGATGAAGTGTCACTACTGCGTCTATTGATCTGCCATTCTTACCTACCACCCGATTCCTAATAACAGCGTTGCTCACTCGGGTGTCCCACGATATACGAGCAATTCTTCGAAGACACCTATGATCGAAAACCAGTAACCTACGAATATCTTCTACTCTCATTGGCCATGTTTCACAGCCATAAATTAAGACGGAGCGAACCACTGCACAGTAATATATATACCCGTAACATATATATATATATATATATATATATATATATATATATGCATAGGCAAATGTATACACCCACAACCTAAATAACGAACATTCTGTTATTGCAACCAAACTCTGACGTAGCAACTAATCAAAAACCGATTAAATCCATAAGAAATTAGGAACCTTTATGAATATTTCTTATATTAATATTATATATTGTGCTTATATTTTCTCTGTATTGTTAAACGTGACTCTAGTGTCTTTATATAATTTTGCGTTACTGTTTCGGGATGTTGGATAACCAGAATTCACTTAATAAAGGTCCTAATTTTGGATTTTGTATATTTTCACGCATAAGATGTCTAGTTGACCTTCAGCTTACATTTCCTACTCCAAAATTCCTTGACTGTCATTGGTTGATTGATTATTTTAGTACGCTATTTTTGTGGTTCTCCCAAGCACATTTCTATAATGTATAAATAAGCTTGAGTTGCATACTTGTCAACTTCATATTTTCTGCGTGATTGTAGAATACATTTTCCACGCCTTATCAAGATTTTTTTGATCTATTTAGCCGGGCCTGGGATAATCGAGTCAGAATAGCCTATCCTGTCACTATACCGTTGATCTTCTTTCCGTTTATCGATTAAGGTGAACAACTCATAATATCATTCAAGCATATCAGTTGATTAGCATATCAGTTACTTGACCAAAATTTTGTTTTTTTACTTAATCTATAATTTAGAGAACTGGTTTAACACGTGATCAATGTACAGCAATTATTAATCGTTTTGAACCATCCCTTGAAAATCGACAATACAATGTAATGGGAATTGATGGTCAGTTTATTGTGAATGATGATATTAATCTTTGGTGAAAATTTCACTATAAGTTATCATTTGAATTTGTTTACTTTTTTCCCCCTATTCAATAATTAAATGCCTCTGCACAACTCCTTACTATTGACTAGCTTAATGAGGAAATTCTTGGAGTTCTTCTAGTGAGAAGCCATGAAAAGTGCAACTCAACCATGTCAAGTGTGAAGCAGTTACCTAACGAACACAGTGAGTGAGGTTGGGCAATACCTTGGGTTGAATAACATAACACATTAACACTGTTTGTTGTACGCCGACTCTGTAGTCTACAGGTTAAGTGTTCTCTCGTCAGGGCGGTGGATGCGCAATGCTAATGAGTCCCATAGTCAGTAAGTTAGTTACGACACAGAACTTCGTACATGAATACATCAGTTCAGGTTGCCGTACCGTATCAGCACGGAGATGCAACTGTCAGTTCAAATCCCATAGTGATAGAGAATTATTAGCGGTAATGGAGAAGATTGGGTTCGAAAAAATTATTCAGTGAAATAAATTTAGAAAGAGAAAATGAGAGAAATCCAGAAGATTAACTTTTTAAGAGAAAATTGAGTATGGATACACGTGCGCCATTGCAAACGATTTTGAGCTATGTCATTCAAGGTCTCTAACCATCGATTAATATCATCTCGAGAACCCTAACCAGCTAGTCTACACCTACTACTAATATGGCTCAGTTCAATAGTCAGCAGGTTCATGGATTTTTGTCATCTTTTGGTTTGGCCGCGCTTAACTTTCTCCCACCCTACTCCTACACCACAAAGCATCGCTCGATGAGGCAGTCGATGGTTGAGCATTTGAAACACATGTCCCTCAACCACCTCAGCTGATAAAGTTTCACTACCTAATCTGTTGATTTGCCATCTCTAACTTATACTCGTTTCTTAACGATAGCATTGCGTATTCAGCTGTCTCAAGATATTTGAATCCCATACTAGGATGAAACCGCTGTCTAATGCTTTCATATTCCTAATACTGATCTAACTCTGATCAATACATGGTTACATTTTTTAACAGGTTGGAATATTCTTTAAAAAATTAATTACTTTTTTTAGGCTTTACACTGTTATTATTATCAGAAGAATGTGATATTTTCAATCCAGTACATTTACAAGTATGTCAAGATATGTCACAACCAATCACTCATTATTACATTGCATCATCGCATAAAACGTAAGTTGTTGGCGTGATTGTTTTTTTTTCCGTTGATTGATCTGTATTGATTATTGATATGGTGGCATAGGATTACTATTAATTGGGAAGAAAATACCACACCTACATTACTATCCGAGCAAAGGAACGAAGACGTTGAGATCGGTAAAGAACATACAGTTTACCAATAAAATGATGTACAGCTTCTCTTTAGACAACTAGACCGTTGTTTGTCGCCGGGACTTCAGAATATTTTTGATCGTATGATGCATTCCGATTTGCCATTCTTCTCTATATATGGTAGTATCTTCTAGGCAACATTCGATATGTTTGAATGCTATTACGAGTTCACCTGACTTGGTAAACAGAGCGAAGACAAATGATGCAGTGACACGCGATAAGCTATTCTGATCCGTTTATCCCCGGCCAGGCTAACTATATCAAGGAGTCTTGATAAGGCGTAGAGAATGTTTTCTACAATCACCCAGAAAATAAGAGGCATCTAAGCATACAAATTTCGCTTATTTATACATGATAGAAACATCCTTCGGAAAGCCACAAAACAGCGTACTAACAAAATAATACATCAACCAATGAAAGTCAATGATTTTCCGAGTGGGAAATGTAATCTCAACTGGTCAACTGATCAGCCTATGCGTTAAAACGTAAAATTCGAAATTACGATCGTTATCAAGTGAGTTACTGGGATCTAATGTCCCCAACAACACTCCATTGCATACTACTCAGAAGTTAGGTTGTAAATAGTACACACAACACTAGTTAATTGGTTAAAGCTTATTTAGGGAGATAATGTCAGTGGTTGAGATTATTTCAGACAAATAGTTTTTTTTACTTGTAAATGTCTCCTTTATACTTGATATGCGTGATTTTTTTCAAACTATTTATCAAAATTTGGAAAAATGTTTATATAAACTACTTAAAAATGTTGCATGTGTATTTCAGTCAAAATAATTTTCACATTATTGACAGTATAATCAACCTAAGTTACTTAAATTTAGAACAGAAAATAAAATACAACAAATCAACATCATCGGCTATAGTGTAGTTCATGTACATAGTGCTTATGTAACTATTGCGAGATTCACATCATAGCTTTGCACTAGCTGATTTAAAAGAATAAATACAATGTGATCACTGTTTTAAATCAATGTTTTATCTATGATATAATTAAAACGGTTATCACTAATAACTCTGATCGATAATCGATCATCTTTTTTGAAAGTTACGGGTGATTGGTTCCAAACAAGCTTACAAGACGACGGTGCGAAACGAGTTCAGTATAGATTTGTGACGATTGTTGAGTTTTATTAAAAATCCGGGACTGGGCACTTTTAGACCAGCACTAGAAACCTAGCAGTACGGGATGGCCATTTCGTTCTAGTATTGGAATCATCAGCAGTATGTATCCACGACCCTGAAATCAGGAGTCAAGCTAAAGACCTTTCATCTCGTCTGCTCAACCTTAACCTCTTGAACACGAATCTGGTATTCAATGATGTTTAGTCCTCGGTATAGCGTGACCATGATTAAATGTCTTCGGTGGGTAATTGCCACACATCCGACACGGCTGAACTTGCTATATCATGGCTTTTTACGTGGATTAGTTCAAATAAGACATTAAGGCCTCTAGATGCCATCTCAATGGTCTGACTGGTAGGCATTCGCACATGAGATCTGAAGTTCTAGGTTCGAGTCCCGCTCACAGAAACATAGGTGTGCACTGCTGATGAGTCCGATACTAGGATGAAACAGCCATCCATTGCTTCCAGATTTCCAAAGATGTTCTAATACATTGATCGTTTCATTATTTCCAAAAACAGTTGATTTTGAAGCATTGAAAAATATCAGTAATATGTCTGGTAGTTTTTAGTACGTACATGTAAATGCATGGTAAATGCAGTTGAACCTATTAAGAAGAGAGAACTTGTTAATTTTTGTTTGTTTGAATGAATGAACAGTTCATTTCATACGATCTCATTAGTTTTGCAGGTGATTAAGAAATCTTCATTTCAGCACTGATCGTTCGATTATTGACTCTAGCAATTTTATCTCTTTTGAAGAACAGATGAAAGAAACAGGCTTCTGCTCGCATTTTAGCATACTCAACACATTCACCAAGTTCAACTCTATCATATACAACAAAACCTGTACTCATCTGAGGAGTATTAAGTAACATTTCTAAAATATCAAAGTGATTTTTATACATTTCACAATGATTGGTTCTATTTAAACAATGAATATAAACTATCCGTAAAGTTTGATTCGCTGAGCTTCAAAATTAGCCTACATACACTGAGAAAAAACAATCCCGATAAAATCATTGTTCTTAACTACGAATCTCACTCCATTATTTTATAGCGAATTGAAATAAAAATACAACTTCGTGGGATAACTAATTTAAATCCCGATAATCTAGAAGTCAAAGAAAAGACTATTCTAGATGAAGAAATATATTTATTGCTAACCTCATGATATAGAAATAATATTGAGGCTAGAGGGTACACAAGCGGCTAACGATCATCTAGGAGAAGAGCTGAGAAGTGGAAAGGTAATAACATACTTGGCGCGTGAGAGATAGTCTTTAAAAACAGATAAACAAAAGGAGTACATTATAACAATCATTGTCAGAATTATGTACAATAATAAATGTTTATATTTCAGCAATTGTGTTATCTTTGTAAAAGTATACTACTACAATCTAAAACGAAGTTTTCATACACCTTTTTCAAAGCCATACACTTGAGTTTATCTGAACTAATGAATCACAGTCCATCCAATGTACTACACACTACTGTGTTTCGCATTTTAAAGAACAGATGTAATTAAAGTAGACAATGTGATATTCAATTTCATGTTTTCCCTTTTAAAACATGTTATCTTTTGTAAAATTCATAGATTTCTCCTAGAAGATCAACTAACAGGTCCTTGTAGTATAGAAGGTTATCAAAGAGCACTTCTTTCAGGATGTCGATATATTGAACGTAAGTAAATTTGTATAATTTTTTAAAGTCTAAAGATAGATGTTCTGTAAACAAACATTTTGATTTTGTCAAAGACTATTCTTAAATATCTTTTTTCATCTAGTAAAATAATACCATTATAGAGAGCTAATCAAAACTGACCAAAGGAGAAGGTCACTTAATGACACTTCGAAATGTCCTAAAGGACGAATGTTTATCATTGGTCAATAACTGGATTTATTTCCTGACGGGAATAAATGTTTATATATAAATGAGTATTTATGCAAATAATTCGGCAACCAAATAGAATTTCTCGCCCACTCTTGTCTTCTCATCGAACTAGTCAGTTTTGGTAAGGGATTAACGTGTATCCTGTTCAGTGATATTTTAAAAGTGAGAGATACAAATCGATACACTATCAACATATATAGTTTTGACATTCTGAAGTAGAAAGTAAGTCTTTCTAAGCAGATAGTGGATAGTGGCTAGTAGTGGAATCCTGGATGCAGGTTTCGTCCTGCCTAGTACTTGTTAGCTAAATGTACCTGAACCCTAAAGTTGATGTTGACTTCAAGACTCGAACGTAGTACCGTACGCTTTAAAAGCCACTGTGTTATTCACTTAGGTATTGAGTCCCAAGAATTATAATGCTTTTCACCTAATAGCGATATCGAGGCAGTTCAAACAGGAGGCGTATAATGAGTTAAATAAGATTGATCAATTAAATTTTTAACCATCAATCTAGCAGATTCAACATAACCAGTGCAAATGAAATGAACTACGCACCATTGCATAAGCCAGTGGCTGTGTGAACTCAGAAGCTAAGTGGATAAAGCGCTGGAATTTGATGTGAATTTGTATTGGGTTCAAGTCTCAGAGTGAACATCAACTCTGAGATGCAAGTACATGCATCTTACCAATAATACCAAATAGGATGAAACGCGTATCTTAGATTCTACTATCAATCACTCACTATTCATCTCTATTTACAATACTTCTCACCTAATGACTGACTATATTGAGGCAGTCCACACACAAGGCACATAACGCGTCATATATAACTGTTCAATTACATTTGGAGATAGTGGATAAGATTTGTAGCTCAGGTGGATGTTTGTGAAGTTTGTGCTGATGATGTTGTTCAAAAGAACTGTCAAGGTCGTCACTAGGTACGCTATATCAAGACTTCTTTGTTAGTCAACGGATAAGGGTATCCTACCTGGACGCTGGTTCATTGTGTCGTTCTGGTTTATCGACTAAGGTGAACCCGTAATAGTTTCGAGCATACCTAGTGACGACCTTAACAATAAGCGACGAGGATGGGATCACATTGATCCTCCAAGACTTGAATTATTACCCGGCCAGCAGCTGAGTTAATGAAGATGTTGATGGATACCAAGCTGCATCGTGACGGGACTATGGTGGATCAAGTCAATCTGACGTTGTGTATTGCATCTATCAACTAATTAGAGTAGCTGTGCCCCCTCCTACACCCAGTCCACCTCACTTTAGCTCAATCCGACAGCCGATCTAAAATTACTTTGCTAGATCGGTTCAAACAGCTAACATTAGCAGATGTCCCATCAAGCATATAAAAAGAAGCCGACCCGCTTAGAAGTACCCAAGTCTGGTCCTCATCTCCGTTCCAGAAATATCCTCCTCGACAGCAGCAAACAACTGTCCAGATCAAAATAAACCATCGTGTGTCACTTCAATTTCTTCAGAGGGAGGTGTTAGGATATTCATCTAATATCCTAGGAGAATTATTGGTCAATTCCTATTGGTTAACTCCTACTGGTCAATTTTATGATCGTCCTAGATATCACTGTCATATACTCCAATGTTATTTCTTATTGGTCGTCCTGACTGCCAATGTCATAGACTTCGATGATGTTTCCTATTCAACCTAAATGTATAAATAATCATTATCTGTAACGATTTATGACCCAGACCCGGATCCCCAGTCCGGGATCCTGATTCTCTTCTGGACTCGACCCGGGTACTTTCTAGACGCTTGTGGAAAACAGGTTGTACTTCATATCATGTCTTCTTCTTTCACTCAATGGCTGCTGCGACACTCGGATTAAAGTAACATGCCGTCTAGCTGGATCCTTGATCCTCTCTCTCGTTTTCCGACTAAGGTAAACTCATAATATTTGAAGCATATCAAATTGACATGTTTACTTTCATACGTAACAAGAACAATGAAAGCTTCACAACCAAAATATCTAGCTTAGAGAACAAAACACCACCACAGTGATGAATTACATTTTTAACTGTCAATGCAGAAGATTCAACACAACCAATACACATGAAAAATTAAAAAAACCATACGTTTAAAAAAAAAGTTTGATATTGATTATTGAACATTTACATATATACATATTTGTAAATGTTCAATATACATTCAGTTTTTTTCATTTTTTAACGAATTCACACATCCATAATTCATAAACTGCATACATGAAAATACACTTGTAAACTGAATAAAAAATTATCGTGTTTATTTCCTGAAACATTTTTACTACAAAAAAAATTGGAACAAAAATTATTTCAAGTATATCATAGATGCCAAAAAAGCTTTTTCTATTTTTAAAATAAAATTGAATGTGAGATGCAATTTTCGCGCACTTTTTTTTTCTATTCATGTCATGAATGTTTTTTACAAAACCAGTTTATGTAGACTGATGAAATTATGTATTTTTGATAAAATGAACTATACATTTTTAGATAATATTATGTCGGTAACATGCAAAGGAGATTTATCATTTATGTTTTGGGAAATTGAATCAGAGTATAATTCATTCTGGTGGTAAACTAATCTTACTTACTTACTTACTTACTTACTCACCCACTCACCCACTCACTCACTCACTTACTTACTTACTTACTTACTCACCCACTCACTCACTCACTCACTTACTTACTCACTAATGTCTGTTACTGATATGCTTGAATGCTATTATGAGTTCACCTCACTCCGTGAACGGAGCGAATATAAATGACGCAGTGATATGATAGGCTATTCTGATCCGTTTGCCCTCACCTGGGCTAACTCTATCAAGGGGTCTTCATAAGGCACCCGGAAAATACGAGGTCCGCAAGCATACAAATTGAGTTTACTTATATATGATAGAAACGTCCTTGGTGAGAGCCGCAAAAATAGCGTACTAAAATAATCCGTCAAACAGTGACTGACAGTCAAGGATTTTCTGAGTGGGAAATGTAAGCTGAAGTTCAGTCACCTAAGCAACTTATTAGTGAAAACATAAAAATCCAAAATTAGGACTTTTTCCAAGTGAGTTCTAAGGATTTAACCTCACCAACAGTTACCTCATTACGAGGCAAAGGCCATTGACCGACAGTGGCTAGCGGTGTTATGCACAACACATGTTTCATCCTATTCAAGATGATGGATGTATCTGCATTCTCATAATTGATGATAACTTTGAGAACCTCACTCATTGCCGTTTCTTTCAACCTTTATCACACTAACTATTTTACTACTAAGTCTAGATAACCACAGTCAACCAGTTAGCTACACCACAGAACTTGGTACCTACATACATCATTTCAAGTTTCCATACCACATTAGCACAGAGATGCATTTTTCAATTCAAATTCCGTAATAGTAGAGATAGTAGAAGTATGAGTGGTAATGGAGAGTATTTAGAAAGAGCCACTACTAGCCAAATTCTATCTATTCTAATATAAACTTTTGTCACAATGGTCAGATCAAGGCAGTTCGTAAAGAAATGCCTGCATGCCACATTCCAAATGACAAATTTCAGTCAACATTTCAACATTGGAATAATTTGAACCCTTTTTATAGTGAATTAATCTAAACATTATTTTCTAAAGTTTAGACACAATGATAAAGAGTATTTGGAACAAATGTGTGAAAGTACAGTAAGAAGACAGCATTGATCTGTAAAAAACCTTATATGTTTGTCTAATATATAAGTTAGACAAATTGACCGTATATTTACACACATCTTAGCCATCTTTTTCCTATGAAAGCTAAAAGAATTTACCTTTGACAGTAGATCAAATAAACATCCAATTAAAAATGGAAATATACACGTTACAATTGAATTCGTGAAACGATCAGTGTTTTAGGTCAGCACTGGGGAGAACATGGAAATATTAGTCAATCGTTTCTTCCCTAATAACGTGAGACCTCTCCAACAATGAGCATCCATAACACAGCAAGCGACGAGGAGGAGGATCGGAACAAGATTAAAAATAGAAATTGTAACAGAATGAACTGATGATCCAGTGAATAGATCTAAACAGGAGAAATTATTGTTCTTGTAATACTTACGAGGAGATTTTCATCGATGTCAAACATACATTCGTAACTGTTTCAAATGATGATTTAAAATTTAGTTCAACATTAATCCAAAGATCTCTTCCAGCTGCATATTTTATCATCGATAGCTGTAGTTTTCTGTCATGAATACTTATCAAAACAGAATGTACACCAAATTGAAACTTATCTTTTCACATGTTTCATAAAGCTTGACTTACGAGAACTGTATTACTTCTTCCTATTTATATCAATTTACGCACACATGTTGATTATTTCAATTCAATGAAGTTGACTGATAACTGAAATCATGAAAGAATCATTGTTAGACTACCATTAAAAACCCGAAAGCATTGGACAGCCCTTTCGTCCTAGTAAGGGACTCGTCAGCAGTGCGTATCCATGACTCCTACTACTCCTAGGACTCGAACCTAGGGTCTTGCGTTGAAAGCCTAGCCACTGGATCATTGAGCCTGCATCAGATAGTGCTAATATCTAATTCTGATTTGTCTGGGGTATTTTGCATGAACTTAATTTGATCATCTGTAGGATGTTGAACGTCATAAGGAAACATGAATTTGGTCCTCTAATAAATGATAACTTCAGCTCATTATATTTAATTCCCTTCTTTCTTACTGTGTGCTTTCCTCTCTTTTGTATAGCAGTTTGATGCAAAAAAATGAATGCTTATTTATCTTCGATAAAACTTTAACGAGAGAAAGTATTCATGTAATTAAAACAACAATCTTTTACTACAGTTGTTGTTTCCTTTTTTTAATCCCTAAAAATCTAACTCGTTAACATCATAATATCTCATAGTTTTCAATTTATTCAATCGGTATGTTTTTAAATGTTTCTTAACACTGTTAGAAAATCAATAAACATCAAATGTCTATTGGAATGATAAAGTGATTATTGTTAGACAATCATTATTTAACTAGTATGCACTAGACGGGCATTTTGTCTTACTAGTATGAGGACTCATCAGCAGTACACATCCACAACTGAACAAATGGGAGTCAGATCTAGGACCTATGGTTTCATGCTTGAACGTTTGCTTATCTTGACTATTAAAATTGTTTTTTCGTCCAGTTTTAAAATTAATTTCTCCACTGTTTTGTTTTAAATCGAAAAAACGAATACTTTCACACACAAAAAAATAAATTCTTTTGATTATTTAATTTAGTTGAAGTCTATGATGGTCATGATGGACATCCAGTTGTGAGACGTGCTAATTCACGACCACCTGGTATACCAATACAAGTTGTATTAAATACCATACATGATTTTGCATTTATACGTTCTGAGTAAGTTCCTCATTATTATTAATATTATTATTATTATTATTATTATTATTAAACAATGGTAGCGGATATTAGAAACCTGGACTGATTAGAAGACTGCCGTTTCGTCTTAGGATTGGACTAACCAACAATGAGCATCCATGATTTCCATGAAGTGGGGAAATGGTGATGATTCAGTCTAAAGACAATTTGAACTATGAAGGACTCTTATCTAATTCCCTTTGGTGGTTCATAGATATCCAATAGTGAAGCATTCTACATTAGAACAAAACCTAAGGTCGAAATTTCTAAGGATATTCCGAATGATAACAATATTTTAAAAACATACTATTAGAATTTAACCCCTGTCAAGTGTGAAACTGTGCCTACGTAAGACCATGAATGAGCTTGCTCAATAATGTGAATCGATTCAAAATAGGCATTAACATTGCTGGATGCTGGCTCACTACTCTAGACTACAGACGTTCGTGTGCACGAGACTGAATGTCCTCAGTTCGAGTCCCACCTTGCGGAAGTCGTTGATGCGCAGTGCTAAATGAGTCCCATACTAGGATAAAACAGCCATCCAATGTTTCTAGGTTACTAATTATGGTCTAGCATTGAAAGATTCATGAAGAATTTTAACTCCAACAGATCCATTCCTTTCAAGTCATTTTCTGCGCTTCACTTATCATTTTTCTACAAATGTTTATCGTGTTTAATTTTTCCGAGGTTTTTTTTCTGTATGGGAAATTATTCACTTATTTTTGTGGGATTGTTTATCCCTTATTGATTTTTTTGAAAAAAAATTCCCAAAAAACAAATTATTTGTCTGTGTGAAAGACAGTAAACAGTTAACTTTTAATCTTTTAATTTTTTTTCTAAATAAGTCAACAAAACTAAATAAATAGATTTTTTCGATTAGGCAAAAAACTGGCTTGCCATGAAAATAGTCTACCATTTCATTAGTGCACATGTTTTACAGCAATCTGTACGAGAAATAAGCACACACACACATATAAATACATATGTAGGGGTATACATGCAAGCGTGCATGCCTGTAGTACACTATGTGTAGTCAAGTACATACATAATGTACTACTACATGGTGAAATTGTTTGTTGGTTGGTTGGGTTTTTCTGTTATTATCTTCGAAATGATTGATTTGAACTTTTATTGAAAGAAAGTGCGATCGCCAATCAATTTTCATGGCATTACCTAATGATATTGATTGATTGTCTGGTTATATATGTATTGAT